AATAAAGTTACAGTTACATAATAATATTTCTACTTCAGTTCGTTTTTTTGAAATATAAACAAATGACTGTCATAAAAACTTTATGGATTTATTCAAACATAAATTAAACAGTGAAGAACAGTAAAAAATATACTGAATATGTTATATGGTGCATATTTTAAGCAAAATGCCCCTCTCAACAGTTTATTTTTCTATATGACTAATGAGTTTATGGTCACCGAATATGTTTTTTTTTCTGAGGTAAATGTGACGTTATGTAATATTGTTTACAAGCCAACACTGATTGAGCGATTACATGAGACAAGATACGGATAGTAAAGTTCTACTGTTTCTTTTAACTTACCTTCGGATGTTTAGTCATGCTTATTTTGTGCTGAAACTGGTTGTTGAACTGAGGCATAACAGCGATCTGTCACTTCACATTAAACAGCGCCAAAACGGCATTTATTGTTTAAATATTGTACAATGGACAGAATTTGAAATCTGAGACTTTGTTTCATAATAACAGTACCAAAGCACAACGCTTATTGGGATTTATTGGATGGGAAGTACCCTTCAATGTTCCGTCCATTAACTGAAAACAGGCTAGACTAATCGATTCTTGGGATTTAAGAATCGATATCGTTCCATAAAAATGAGAATCGATTAATATCGAGATATCGATAATTTTTACCCAGCCCTAATTTAAATTGATGTGATAAACTAGTTAGGTCAAAAGTAATCTAAAAGTAGTCTGATTACACTACCTAAAATGGGTAATATAATGGATTACGTTACTAACTACAGTTTTTGTCATGTAATTTGGAATCAGTAACAGACTATAATTTGTAAGTAATCTACCAGGCTCTGGTTGTAAGCAATAACAGTTAAACACTCAACATTAAACACACTTTTATGTAAAAACGTTTGCTTAAATATTAAACAATGGCATGTTGCCTTCAACCCAAAGCACTTCCAAAACATGGTTCCCCTTAAAAAAATGACAGTCATGCTCACTGGATTTGATTTGGCATGCCTGTTAACCATGAGGATGAGAACATGGACATGAGGGTGAATCTCAAAATCTGTCAACCACTTTCTGGCTCTTATTTAATTTCAAAATTAAAACAAAAAAAAAGCATGTAGGACCAATACTTTTTTAGCATTACAACATAATAATAAAAAAAAACTGATCACATTTAAACCCCTGCCACAACTGTCAGCAGCTTTTGTAATGTTAAAAATCTCCTTCTCACTTCTGAAATGTAAAATAATAATATTAATTACCCGAATAAATAAACATCTAAATGATTTAAATATAATTTAAATGATAAAATACAGGTGCATCTCAATAAATTAGAATGTTGTGGAAAAGTTCATTTATTTCAGTAATTCAACTCAAATTGTGAAACTTGTGTATTAAATAAATTCAATGCACACAGACTGAAGTAGTTTAAGTCTTTGGTTCTTTTAATTGTGATGATTTTGGCTCACATTTAACAAAAACCCACCAATTCACTCTCTCAACAAATTAGAATATGGTGACATGCCAATCAGCTAATCAACTCAAAACACCTGCAAAGGTTTCCTGAGCCTTCGAAATGGTCTTTCAGTTTGGTTCACTAGGCTCCACAATCATGGGGAAGACTGCGGATCTGACAGTTGTCCAGAAGACAATCATTGACACCCTTCACAAGGAGGGTAAGCCACAAACATTCATTGCCTGTATACATACTAGCTGTCATACTTGTACTGAATTAAATTTATGCTGATTTTAGATATAGAATTTCACATTACAGTGATGAGAATTTTTGTGATGAAAAAATATCACAATGCAAAAATCTTAATGGACCTAAATACAGGTCATATTTCTTTATGCTACTTTTTCAGAGTTAAATATAACCTGGACACTTGATCATGAGATTCGGACATAAGCAGTAGAAAGAAGAAGATCATGTAAAGCGGAGGGCGGCCTCACCTGATAAAGCTTTTGAAGGCAGCTGATTGGGGGTTGATACAAAGCGGTACCCGATTCCCCTTCTGCTGCTCCAGGATGAACTGATGAATGATCTCTGTGTGGGGAAGAAAAGAGGAGAGATGATGAGAAATAAAATACAGTTTACAGTTATGAATAACGGTTTACAAGTTATGTGCTATCATGGTTAAAAGAACAGTTCACAAAACAATTCAAACATTTCTCCTGTGTTCATGTTAAATAAAATACAGGTTTCAAATGACATGATGGTGAGAAAATGATGACAACATTTTTATTTTTAAGTCAATCTAATTAACAGGTAGACAGCAAGTCAAACCTGTTAACTAGTTAAAGGCATTCGGTAGTTCACACAATTCTGTCATCATTCCTTGTAACAAAAAAAGATGAAGTGATGTGACTCACAGATTTTCATCTAGAACTACAATTTTGTATTTTCAGGACAAATCTAAATTATGAATGAATCACTGAATGAAGATTTATTCTAGCAGCAAATTTACAGGTCAAATAGTCGATTCTAAAGGAAGATTCTACAGGCAGACTGTACTATCTGTAATATCTTCTAAAGCTTGAAACTCTTTATTTTAGCATACAAGCGATTTAGCTTAAAACTAGCTCGGCCAACGTGGAAACTCCTCATGTGTCGATCCAAAAGGGGTTCCCCTCGCGTTCCAAACACCGCTGCCTCCCTAAATCGCTTTAAGTCTCCAGGCGGCCGGCTCCATCTGCACTGACTAATCCTCCAGTGGAAACACGTTGCACACAGGATGGAGGAAGAGGAGGGAGGGTGAAGGGCAGTTATTTTGAGCTGACAGCACAGTAAGCCTGCTTTTAGCGACAGACTTTCACTAATACCTGCTGACAGTGGAAGGCAAGCACAGATCCAGGGTCCCCGAATGAAGGGTGAAAACAAGGGACAAAAACAACAGGAGCAGCAGGGGATCTGAAGCAGGAGATGCCCAGCAAGACTTCTGATTAACATGCGCTGCTCTCAAATAGATTCAATTCAATTAAGACCTTTAGCTCCTAAACATGTTGTCTACAAACTGGGGGTGGATCAGGACACAAGGTTAAATGAATAGACCACCGATGTTTGTCTCACGTGTTGTATAATGTGTGTTGAAATCAGCACAAGGTGTAGTACATATGAATTGATTACAAGCAAGCTCACCTTTGACCTGCCGAACTGACGTCAGGTTCTTCTCAAAGCCGTCGTCAAACTTGGGGTTGGTGACAGGCTCAAAGTCACTGGTGTAGACGCGGCCAGAGGACGTGGTGTAGCAGCATTTGCACATGCAGGTGTGGTACCGCAGACGCCCCTCATCCAGATACGGGTGCGCCAGGGCGTCCTTTGCAGAGATCCGCTTCGACTGTATTGGAAAACAGATTGGTTCTGACTGAACGTTTCTTTTAAAAATGCAATAAAATGATCTATTTTACGGTTTTATTTTTTAAATGAAATTTAAAATTATTTATAAAAATATTTTATAAAAATGTATTTATTTTATTTATAAATGCAAAAAACATATATATATATTTATAATATAATATAATATGAAATTAAATTGTTTCATTACAACCCGGGCAAGTAAATAAAAGTGTGTATTAAAGTTTAATTATAACCATTAATTTTATATGGTCTATATTGATGATTTTTATTGATGAATTTTAGCATGTAGTTTAATTTAGATTGTAATGCTACAGTTTATGAGAATCAAGTATCAAGAACACTTACTGGGTCAAAGACCAACATCCTGCAGAGGAGGTGAACGGCCTCATGGGTTGCTTGACTGGACAGAGTGTACAGGACAGGAAGTGAGGGCTGCAGAAACAAGAAATGGCATGATCAGTATACTATAGTCTGAGTATCTAATCTATTTTACCAAACTTATATATACATATTCAGAGACAGGCAGAAACAAACTAATATGTAATCAGTGTTTCAGTGTTTGGAAACCCATATTGTTCAACCATTAACAAACAAATGTGAAAACGCTGTAGAAAGTGTGAGAATAAACATGATTTAGGAACATGGCCAACTCTGAACATTTTCATCCTGTTTTCAGAAGCAGTCAAAACATACAAACAGCTTCCTATAAGCACGTCATGTGATCCTCAGCGGCCGTTCAACTGCACGTCGCAAACATGCAAAACATTCCTCCTAGTAGCACATGATCCTTTCGCCAATAGCCGCACACTTATCTGAGGATGTGGGACAGCGGAGACAATGTGCTGGGATATTTTTAACCGTGTCTAATTATCTCTTCCGCCCACCTTCCCCCATTCCAAGCCCCCCAGCCGACTCACCAAAGAGTTGATTGAAAAAGCCCACCGGTAATTGCTTGTTTTCCCTGGTTAGGCTCTTTGAGCCGAGAACAGATGTGAACTATGGCTGGTGATTCACCATTTAAAAAGGGATGACGTATTGTCAGGGCTGACTGTATAGCTGATGGAGGTGAAGGTGTCGGGCGAGAGATGGAGGAAGACGATGGGCAAGGATTGAAAGCTCTCAGCCATAACTGGAGCCAAACGGAAACGAGGTGTGCTATTACTTTAAGTGATCAGACCTTCATTGAAGGAAGAATCTGAGTCATATGTAGGGACCAGAATATCACAAAGACTCGAAAGTGGGCAACATCTCGGAACATCCCATAAATTGCATAGCAACATGCTAAAAATCACTCAGAACATTGCATAGCAACATCATGGCTAGTACCCAAAAACCACTAAAGAGATATATTTATTTACAAAAAAGGGAAATAAAAACAAATTCACTGCGAAATGATGAGATTATTTTAATAATAAACTTTAAAAATAATAAATGTAATAAAAATGAAATATACTAATAAATATAATCTGATATAATAAAAATAATTAACAATGAATAACATTATACAATAAAAAATTAAGAAAATAAAAAATAAATGCTAAATAACTACATAAGTATGCAGATTTAAGTTTCACACTTAATTTCACACTACTGTAAAAATTGTTGGGGTCAGTAAGATTTTTGAATGTTTTTTTAAAGATGTCTCTTATGCTCAAAATATAATAATATTGTGAATTATAATAAAAAAATAAATGTAAAAAAATACTGAAATAATGAAATGAATCATTACATTTAAATAATAAAAATACAAATATTTTCTGTAAAATGCTTTCTGTTTAAATATATTTTAAAAAGCAAAATTGTTTAGGAGACATTAGTACAGTTTTCATCCTTAAGAAATCATTCTAATATGCTAATTTGGTGCTCAAGAAAACTTTCTTATTATTATCAATGTTGAAAACAGTTGTACTGCTTAATATTTAAATTTAAAAGTCTTTACTGTCATTTTTAAATAAATTAAAGCATCCTTGATGCAGTATTAATTATTATTTTTTTAAGTACTGATCCTAAACTTTTGAACTGTAGAGTCTGTGTTTGAGTCACTACAAAGATCCATCTTATAAGAGTAATTTATTCAAAAATGATTGCACATTTTCTGCGCTCTACAGTTCCCTTTCAGCCGGTCACTCTCGACGTCACGTCGGATGACCGACGAAATTGGGATCTGTCTTTTTGAAGACACGTCTTTTTAAAGATGTCTTACCACCCGTGTGTTTCTGGATGCGTTCGTTACCTGGCGCCGGGTGATGGTCACGATCGCTGCCTCTCATGCCTGGCTATGCTTTCCCGGGCCGGAGAGAGATTCGGGCTCGAGTGGAATCTTCCACCGCGTCCCGAACCCTCAAGGTTGGACGATTGGTTTCTCGGGGTGGCCCGTGCTGGTTCAACGACCTGTGGAGAAGCTGCGTCCGCCGTACACGCTTCGGTGTTGCTGCAAGTACACCAGGCCAAGACACTGAGGAACTTGCACGAGGGTGGTCACGACCCGGAAGTTCTCACGGAGCTCTGCACCGCGACGGACCTCGCGCTACGAGCGACGAAGGTTACGGTGCGGTCTCTGGGTCGCGCAATGTCCACTATGCTGGTCAAGGAGCGCCATCTCTGGTTGTGTCTGGCCGACATGCGCGAGGCGGACAAGGCACGTTTCCTAAACGCCCCCGTGTCCCAGACCGGCCTGTTCGGCGACACAGTGGAGAACTTCGCCCAGCAGTTCTCCGCTGCCCAAAAGCAGACTGAGGTCATCAAACACATCCAGCCCCGGCGTGCAGCTGCTGCCTCCACCCCAGCCTGCTTGTCGCCGAGGGCGGCCCCTGGCCGCCGCCCCCGCTCCGCGTTCGTAGCAGCCTCCAGCAAAGAAGCGCCGTGGAGCCGGTCGCAGGGCAGCCGCTCCGCCCGTCCAGGCCCCCGCCAAACCTGGAGGCAAGCGAAAGAGCAAGAGGCCCAGAGACGGGT